TCTGGGCATTTTTTCATTGGGAAGTATTGTAATGCTGTTTCAATTTCCTTGTATTTTATGGGTCTGTTCAAGCTGTTGAACTCTTCTTGGTTTAGTCTTAGTGATGTCCATAATTTTAGATATATATCCATTTCTTTTTGATTTTCAAATTTAAAAACATAATAGGTTTTAAAAGTATTCCATTATAATGTTCTGGATCTTTTAGTTGTCTCGTGATATTTCTCCTTTCATCTCTGATTTTCTTGATTTGGAATTGCTGTTGTTTTCTTTTGGTTAACTAGGCTAAGTGTCTGTCTATCTTGTTTATCCTTTCAAAGAATGATCTCTTGGATTTGTTGACTCTTTGTATTGTTTTATTTTCTTTATTTCTATTTCATTAATTTCTGTTCTGCTTTTTTGTTTTCTTCTTGTTTACTGGGTTTGTGTTTCATTTGAAGTTGCCTTTTAAGAGTCTTGAGTTGCAAAGTTATGTCATTTATTTGTGCTGTTTCTGATTTTTAATGTTAGGGACTTAGAGCTATAAACTTCCCTCTTAGAATATGTTTTATGTGCCCCATAGGTTTTGTTGTGTTGTATTGTCCTTTATGTTCAGTTCCAGGAATACTTTTATTTCTTTCATAATTTCTCCTTTGACCCAGTCATCATTCAGGAATGTTTTATTTAATCTCTATGAGTTCATGTACAGACTAGTGCTTTTTCTGGCTTTGATTTTTAAGCCTTATTCTGTTGTGGTCTGATAGAATGCATGGAATTATTTCAATTTCTTTATATTTGTTGTGGCTTCTTTTGTGGCCCAGTATGTGGTGGACTTTGGAGAAAGTTCCATGGGGTGCTGAATAGAAAGTATGTTCTTTGATGTTTGGGTGAAATATTCAGTAGATGTCTAGTATGTTCATTTGATGAATGATATTTGTTAATTCAGATGTTTTTCTGTTTATTCTTTGTCTGATTGGCCTGCCTAATTGCAACAGTGTGGTATTGAAGTCCTATACTATTTGCGAATTTGAATTAATCTGTGTCTTAAAATCCTGTAGTCTTCTTTTTATGAAGTTTGGAGGACCAGAGTTTGGTGCATATATGTTCATGATTGTAATATCTTCTTGGTTAATTGTTCCTTTGATCAGAATAAAATGTCCCTCTTTATAGTTTCTCATTAGTTTTATTTTGAAGTCTATTTTGTATGATATTACAATTACAACTCCTGTTTGTTTCTTATGCCATTTTCTTAGAATAATTTTTTCCATCCTTTCATCCTAAGGCAGTATCTGTCTTTGAAGGTGAGATGGGTTTCTCACAGACAACAAAAAGATGGATTTTGTTTCTTCATTCAAGTACCCTGTGTCTTTTGACTGGGGAGATCAGTCCATTGATACTTAAAGTTTTTACTAAAATGTGTATATTGGTTACCTTCATTTTAATTTCTGGTTGCATTCGTGGTCTAAGCATGTGTTTTCACAACTATACCTTCATTTAGTTGTTTTTTTTTTTCTTTTGTTGCCCCTTGGGTATAGTTTTTCCTTTCTTCAGATCTTTTTATTGCTTCAATAACTCTCCAAAGGGCCCATTCTGTGGACATGGATTCTTTCAGCCTCTTTATGTAATAAAAGATTTTTTCCCCCTTCAACTAGAATCGAAATTTTTGCTGGGTAAAGTAGTCTGGGTTGGCATCTATGGTCATACACAACTGGGAATACTTTGGTCCAGGTTCTTCTGGTTTGCATGGTTTGCATTGAAAAGCCATCGGTAATTCCGATGGGTTTTCCTTTATATGTGACTTGTTTACTGAAAGCTTTCAGTATTCTCTCTTTGTTATGTATGTTTAGTACTTTTACTATGATATGCCATAAGGATTTTTTTTTTCTGGTCATGTTTATTTGATGTTCTATGTCTTCTTGTATTTGTATGGGCATATTTTTGTTTAATTTGGGGAAATTTTCTTCTACAATCTTGTTGAAGATCTGGTTCATACCACTATCCTGAGATTCTTCTCCTTCCTCTATGCCTATGATGTGTAAATTTGGACTTTTCATGATGTCCCATATTTCCTGCATATTCCATTCCTGTGTTTTCTTAAAATTTTCATTATCTTTGCTTGGAAGGTCCAATTCTTCAACTTTATTATCCAATGTTGATATTCTGTTTTCCATTTTATTCATTCTATTGGTGAGACTTTTTCCTGTTCTTCTAATTGGCTTATTGAGTGTTTCACTTCCTACTTCATTTTAGCATGAGTTTTTTAAAATATTTGTGTCTCTTTTGTGTATTCAGTCTGAAGTTTATCCCTATCTTCTTTTAGTTTTTTGATTTGTTTGTTTGTGTGTTCTTAAATTTTTTTTAATTATTTGATTATGGTTATGATTGTTCTTTTAAATTCTGTGTCCTGGGTTATCTCTAGGGGTTTTTCATTGTAGAACTCCTCCATAGGACTGTTGGTGTTTGGCAAGGACATACTATTTAGGTTTTTCATATTTTTATTTTTCTGTTGTGATTTTGGCATCTAGATTTCTTTTGTTGTTGCTGATTCTAGTGTGAGACTCAAGCCTTCCTTTGTTGAATTTGTCTTTTTCTCTTTATTCTTGATGTGTCTTTGTTGTTTTCTTATTGGATGTGGAAAGTTGATTGGTCTAAGCCTCAGGTTCTCTTTTAATTTTATATTGGAGGGACCAGATGACTCTAGTCCAGATACTCAGGGGTTCCTGCAGAGGCCCAAGTCAGGGAAGAACCAGATGCTCTCAGGCATCTTCCTATATTCTGGGCCCCTCTATCTTGCAGGTCCAGTAGAATTTCTGAAGCTTCATGCATGAAGGCTGCATTCTGGTGATCTCAGGCAGTCTTTACAGATCTGGGCCCCTACTAAAGGGCAGGAAAGCCTAGCCTTGCAGCCATGAGAAGGGCTGTAAGTGATCTCAGTATAGGCAGATGGACACTGAGTGATTTGGAAAGCACACCACCCTGCAGAGGTTGGGTTCAGGCACTTTCAGGCAGTCTGGAAAATTCTGGGCCCCTACTAAATGGCAGAGAAGCCTAGCCTTGCAGCAGTGGGAGATGATGTAGATGGTCTCACTGTAGAAGGATGAGTACTGAGTGATTTGGAGAGCTCACTGGCATGCAGCCTCAAGAGGGTAATACAGAGATCTGTGGTGCTAAGAGCAAGAGTGGGCCTGTGCCTGGGCATGGTGGCGCATGCCTGTAGTCCCAGCACTCAGGAGGCAGAGGCAGGATGATCTCTGGGAGTTTAAGCCCATCCTGGTCTACATAATGAATTCCAGGCCAGCTGGCACTACAGAAAGATCCTGTTTCAAAAAGAGAAAAAATATAAATAAATAAATTAAATAAATAAATAAATAAATAAATAAATAAATAAATAAATAGGGCCTGTGCCCAAAGGCTAGAAAAAGAACATGATGTAGGGTCAGGGAGATTGGATTTGCTCAGGTTGTGTGACACTCAGGGCCCAGTGGCCTGGATTAGATTTACCAGGGAAGAAAGTTGTTCTCAGGAATCCAAGACATGTTAGGGGTAGAGACAGCCAGAATAGAAAGCTGGTCCAGGGGGTAAAAAGGCAAGTTGGGGATGGGGACAGCCTGTGAAGGTGATAAGAAAACAATGCTGAAAAATTTAGCTTATCTGAGTGCACGAGATCAGGATGTAATGGGCAAGTCTGGGCCAAGAGAGTAGTCCAAAGATCTGTGGTGTTAAGAGCAGAAATGGTTCTGTGCCCAAGGCTAGAAGAACAGGATGTGGATGAGGTCAGGGAGATTGAATTTGCTTGAGTTGTGCAGGAGTCAAGGGGCAGGATTGATCTTTTTTAAAGGAGTGACTCTTGATAAGCTGACTAGACTCCAGTGGATGAACTTGCACTGAGGGACATCTGGGTACACAAACTTGACTCCATAGCCCTTAGCATAATGATAAAATGCATTAAATCTCGTGGGGGAGCTCAATGGGAGTGTAGATGGGAGAGGGGTATAAAGATGATTAAGATGTTTTATATGAAGTACACAAAAATTCAATGAAAATATACATTCAAAAAAATCAGCAAAATAAAAAAAAGAAAATAAATAAATTGGGATTATCTGAATAAATATTCATATATTTAAAAAGTGGTAGAATTAATTCATTTTGCTTATGACTCACATTAAGTAGTAATTTACGGTCAATTTTCATTTCTCTGTATGCCATCTCTGCCTTCTGTTTCCTCTCAATATACTTTTTAACATTGTTTGTAAATTTTGTGTATGTATATGTAGGTGTATGTGTATGTGATGTGACTTGGTGGGTTTGTGTGTACCATGTGTGTCCAGGTGCCTGCAGAGACCATGGAACAGGAGGTACAGGTAGTTGTGAGCCTCAGTGTGGATGCTGGGAACTGGGTGAACTTAGGTCCTCTGCAATAGGAGTTGGTGCTTTTAACACCAAGCCATCTCTCTAGCCCCCCCCCCCAATATTTAAGGGTCAATACTAAGCAATTTCCTTCCTTCCTTCCTTCCTTCCTTCCTTTCATCTATCTCTTTCTTTTTCTTCCTTCTTTCCTTTTCTGTTTGCTTTATTTTTCCTTGTGGTGCTAAGGATTGAACATGCTAAGCAAATTCTCTCCCACTAATCTACATTCCCAACACTATTCAGTTTTCTGATATAGTCTTTCTAAGAAGTTCATCCTAGTTTTGAACACACTGTTCACATTTCTCTTCTCCCAAGTACTGAAATTATTATCGTGTGCCACCCAGACAAAATCATGAATCACTCCTTGATCATGCCACAACCATTTTTTATTCCTTTCCTTTTTCTTTCTCCAAACCATACTCTTTCATAACCATTCTCATCCATGTCATTTTTTTAATTTATAGGGATACAGGCCTAATTATTCAGCTCTACAAGAGAACAGATGCCTAATGATTAACACCACACACTGAATAACTCAGAAGAAAGATCCATGCTAGCTATGACTCCTAGACCCAACTTCGTCTCTGAACTTGTGTTTTTATAAGCATGGATTCAACATGACTGTGATTAAAGCCGTATTATACATGAGGATCTTGCTAGTGATACGATGGTTTGGGATGATTTTATCTTTTACTGGATTCACCCAAGCTGGACATCAGCACTACCACAGTCCCACAGAAGTGGTGATTCCCTTGAAGCTAACTGGAAAAGCCAGAGGTATGAGGCCTCCAGGTTGGATTTCCTATAGCCTGAGACTTGAGGGCCAGAGACACATTATCCATATGAAGGTCAAGAATTTTCTTCTTCCCAAACACCTCCCAGTGTTCAGCTACACTGATCAGGGTGCTCTGCTTGAAGATGACCCTTTTATACAGGATGATTGCTACTATCATGGTTATGTGGAAGGGGACTCAGAATCATTAGTTTCCCTTAATACCTGTTTTGGAGGATTTCAAGGAATATTTGAGATAAATAACACTGCTTATGAAATCATGCCCTTGAAGTTTTCTAAGACATTTGAACATCTAGTATATAAGATGGTCAGTAAAAAAACACAGTCTGTAACCAGTTCCGGCCTTATGGAAGACAAAATAACATGCCAAGTAGACTTTCAAAAGACTGATAGTGCCACTCTGAGGAAAAATAGTTATGAAGGCTGGTGGGTCCATTTTAGAATTATTGAATTAGTAGTGGTTATTGAAAAGGGTCTATATGAGCACTATGGAAGAAATGACTCAGTATTGCTTGCAAATCTATACACTATAGTAAATATAGTGGATTCCATTTACGATGCTCTCAGTATTAAAGTATTATTGGTTGGTTTGGAGATTTGGACTACAAGAAACCAAATTATAATAGATGATGTAAGAAAATCTCTAAGGATATATTGCAAGTGGAAATATGAGAACATTCAGAATAGACTAAAGCATGACACTGCACATCTTTTCATAAATAGGCACTTAAGAGGATTAAGTGGCCTAGGTAAAACAGGTGGGATGTGTGACCAACCTCATAGTTGTGCAATTGTTACTTTCATAGACAGAACTTTGGCCATTTCTGCAATTGCTGTGGCCCATCACTTGGGCCATAATTTGGGCATGAACCATGATGAACATTGGTGTACATGTGGAAAACCTCAATGCATAATGCACATAGATAATCCACCAATAACTAAATTTAGCAATTGTAGTTATAATTCCTTTTGGGGCTACATTATTAAAAGCACAAACTGTTTGATGGAAAATATGTACACAAAGGATATCTTTAATGTAACACGCTGTGGGAATGGTGTTGTTGAAGAACAAGAGGAATGTGACTGTGGATCTTTACAGCACTGTGTGAAAGATCTCTGTTGTATGTCAAACTGCACTCTGAGTATGGGATCTACTTGTGCCTTTGGACTTTGCTGTAAAAACTGCCAGTTTTTACCATCAGGGGAAGTGTGTAGAAAAGAGACAAACATTTGTGATCTTCCAGAGTGGTGCAATGGAACTTCCAATAAGTGTCCAGATGATGTATATGTGGAAGATGGAATTCCTTGTAATGATTCAGCCTACTGCTATGAAAAGCGATGTAATGACCGCAATGAACAGTGTAGGCAGATTTTTGGCCATGAGGCAAAGACTACAAATCCGAGTTGCTACAAAGAAATGAACACCAAAGGTGATCGTTTTGGCAACTGTGGTATTCAGGGAGTTAAGTATATAAAATGTGATGATAAGGATGTCCTGTGCGGGAGAATTCAGTGTGAAAATGTGACAACAGTTCCTAATATGAAAAGTCACCACACTCTACACTTTGCTCATATCAATGACATGACCTGCTGGGGTACCGATTATCACCTTGGGACAGGTTTAACTGACATTGGTGATGTGAAAGATGGCACAGAATGTGGCCCAGAACATATCTGCATCCGTAGGCACTGTGTGCATATATCTGCTTTGGACAGCAATTGCTCACCTGAATTCTGTAATAAGAGAGGCATCTGCAACAATAAACATCACTGCCATTGCAACTATTTGTATGATCCTCCTAACTGCTTGACCGAAGGCTTTGGAGGCAGTGTTGACAGCGGCCCACCTCCAAGGACAGAGAAGAACAAGATGTTTTGTTACCTGTGTCTCTTGTTGATCATTATTTTGCTTATTTTATTGTGTTGTCTTTTTTGCCTTGTTTTCCCTCGAAAGAAAAAGCTCAAAAGTGAGACAGCAAAGCCCAAAGTTCAGAGCAATGTACACAGTCAACCTAGCTCACTGCATTCCCAGAGTCTGCCTCCATCAAGAAAGTCATCAATAACACCTCCAAGAGTGTCATCCAAAAAAAGTGTCCATTAAATATTAATTACTAGTATGTCTGTCTTTATTCTTCATTATTGTGAATAATTTAAAAATTGATTTCTTTCTGAAATTTGCTTTTGTTATGTTTCCTGGGGGAAAGCTAACACATGGATGCTGTATCTGTCTTTTAGGTTATTGACTCTCAGCTCTGAAACTTCATTTCTATTTTGATTGTGATTTACATTATTTTTTTCTGTTTCTTTTTACTTTTTCTTTTCTGTAGCAGCCCTCTTTCTGTAAGGTTATAGGGTTGTGAGATATGAGAATGAGTAAAAGTCTGATAATCTTGGACACATTCTATTTGATATGCTGAACTTTCCCGACTTACAGGTTTTACATTTACAGTGATAACAGTTTTAATACTTCTACATCTTTTTTTTTTAATCCACTAAAGTTCATTCTCACTTTGAGTGTCAGAGATACCAGCAAAATTGCCTGAGTTGTTATCCTCCGCATGTGAAGCCCTGCTCTTGGAGCTTTAATCAGTATCTTCAAACTTCCCATAGTAACCTTGCAATATGGGTAGAATTCTGAATCTTACATTATGATGACAGTTCCTCACCCTTCAAGGTTGAAATAATCCCAGCTTCTTCCATTTGTTCCCCATCTTTATGAAAGAAATTACTCCTCTGCAATTAATATCTCATAAGTAATTAGTAGTATAGTGTTTCCTTTAATTTGTTTGGTTCTTTTGTAATAATTGACTCAATTTTTATATCTAATTCTTTACCTCCCAAATCACTCCCATGGCCTCTCTCTCTCTCTCTCTCTCTCTCTCTCTCTCTCTCTGTCTCTTTCTTATTATAAAGATAATCATGAAATAATCGATAAAACTGAAACAGTAAGGATAAGGATGCATCATAAGTTACTTTACTTTCATTTCTAGGTTTTTTGTTGATTTGTGATTGTTTGTTTTATTTGTTTTTTCTCTTTTCATTGTCCTTGACAATCTTTGGAGAATTATTTAACATTGTAGGCAGTTCACTTCAAAAGAGGCTTTGATAAATATTATAGTATTCTGTCAACTTCAGAATTCCTTTGACTGAAACTAGGTTTTGTATTTATAATTTTAGGCAAAATGCAGTAAGTGTGGGAAATCTATACAATGCTAAATGAATTTTCAAATACTTGCATTAAATACATCAGATTGATATGAAGGAAATGGCTAGAAAGCCTTTAATTCCAAAGGAGAGACAAACATTCTGAACTGTTTGTACTTATTTTCTCTGAAACTGTTGGAGGCCAAGTCTTAAGTGTACCCCTGCCCCAGTTTGAAACAACCAGGTGGCCTTGTAAAAACATGTCTTTCTTGCCTTGATTTACTACATTTTACTTCGTTATCTTGTGAAACCACCAGGGCTCATGACTGTAGTAGAAATTCCCCAGCAGGGCCTTGCTGCCTTCCACTCCCCCCCCCCGCCTTCTCTCCACCCTTTACCTTACCCCACCCTCCGCTTTACTATATTAACACTGTGTGATTGCTCAATAAATGAGACTTGATCAGAATACTGTCTTGTCTCCATTTGTTCGTGCCCCCCTGTCTATTCATTCCTCCAGGTTCGGTCTCGGTACCCCACGCTGTTGCTCCGCGGGTCAGGGCATAAAACGCTTGAGATTTGACTATTAATTAAAGGTCAACTTTTGCCAATTTAGAGTCTATTGAAGTAACTTGGAAATCCCTTATTAATAAAAAAAATGATAAATTGGAAATGTACAGAAAAAAAATCTAAAAATCTGTTTTTTTTTTCCATGTCATATTTAAAAAGTTTAAATCCCTTGTTGGAGGCTGGAGACATAAGGTGAAACTTCTAAAGGCAGAAACATTTATAATCATCTCATACTTAGGAAACAGCCTAAGTAGAAAGGAGCATGCCTGACATATAGGCATCACTTCCCCTTTGAAAGATTTGCCTTGTTTCAACATATCTTGGTATTAGAAAATAAATACTTAGAGGCAACTTGGAATCGCACAAAAATTTTGTGGGGACTGAAGAGTGGTTAAAAGAACTGGCTGCCCTTGGGGAAGACCCAGGTTCTAGTCCCAGCACCTACATGGTGGCTAACAACTGTCCACAACTCCAGTTCCAGGGGAATCCAATCTTTTCTTCTGTTTCTGTGGGAATTGCATGACATGGGTGCATGTAGCAACATCAGACATTGAACAGATAGCAGAAAGTCAAGGTCAGCAACTAACAATACACAAGTAAAAAACAGACAAAGTGGGGCTTTGGCAACCCCTAACTGGATGGACAATACATAACCAACTCATGACCATCTCCTTGGCTGGACCAGGGTGACATGCATAGAGTGTGGAGAGCCTCCAATGGCTCAACCTGTGATAGTATAAAGAGTTAACCAATTTCAACAGAGATTATCCAGGTTTTTTCTCACTTTTCTTCAATTTCTCACTTAAAAAAATATTTTGTGTATGAGTGCATTGCCTGCATGCATGTAAGGGAACCCGTATCGTGCAATGCCCGCAGAGGTCAGATGAGGGTGTCAGATACCCTAAAACTAAACAGTTGTTAGCTACCTTGTGTCAGCCAAAACAGGTCCTGTGCAAGAGCAGCCAGTGTTCTTAACCACTGAGTCATCTCTCCAGTCCCCAATTTCTCACTTTTTTGTAGTAATTGTTATTACAGTTTACTGCCATTTTCTATGCCCCTACAAGAGTCTGCATCACCAATCTTCACTGGCATGAGACAAATTCTGAAAATCTATTCTACTTTGATCTTTGATCAACATGTGTGCCTGGTATCTTAGGTCATTGGGTCATGAACAACCTGGATATGAAATGCCCTGTTACTCTAAGAGACTTCTGCATCACTGGTCATTCAGTCCAGCCAAAATAATGAATCTCAGGTTTAGTAAGAGCCTCTGTTTCCAAAGATAAAGTGGAAAAGAGACTGAGGAAAAGTATTCTGATGTCAACCTCTGGTCTCTGCACATGCCCAAGAGGGCAAACTCACCCAAACACAAATGGCCATACACAAATATAAAACATTAAACATGTATATATTTATAAAGAGCACATAAAATCAAACTCCCAGAGAAACTCTCAGAAGAATAAATATGTAACATTTTACATAAGGGTACTGTGTTGAAATGGAGATGATACATGCCCTAAGAAATCAAATAGCAGATCACTGAAGTCTTATATTGAAAGTGATGGACAGAAATTAACTAAAAATAGAAAAACACTACAGGAAACTAAAAATAAAAGTCTTGGCCACGTGTGATGGCATATGCCTTTAATCCATGCAACTGAGGTAGAGGTAGGCAGGTCTTTGTGAGATAGAGGCCAGACAGGTGTATGTCTCAAGTTCCAGGCCACCCGGAGCTGCAGGAAGGCCCTACTTCAAAACTCAAAAACAAAACACAAAAACAAAACAAAAAAGTTCTCAGTGACATATTGTAAGAGTGGATTGACCAGAATTTTAGTGAATAAATGCCAGTTAATGGTGTAATCATAAAACCAGCAAAGATTACAATGGACTGAAAACTGATGGAAACAATATTCAGCAAAATTTTAGAGACATAGAAAACACTTGTCATTAAAAATATAAGTATTTCTGGTGATAAGGCATATTTTGACTATGTAGCAGTAGACAAATTCAATGATACTATGTACAAGGTCAGTATTGCAGAAAAACTCATATCAGAATAAGTCCATAATTCTAAGTACTCCTAATTTATTTGGCATTAGTACCCCAGAAATACATTTATTACAGTTATGAGATAGTGCCATAATCTATTAAGAATACCAAGGAGAAAATATTTTTCCTTCAATGTGCTACTGAAGCAGGGGGTAAAAGTGTCAACTCCCTGTGATAGAAAAATCTTTTTTCTACATCACACAAAAGAAATCAATGTCTTTATTATTTTTGTTTTTATTGAATTTTTGTGTATGTCATACAGAATACCTCAGTCTTAATTATCTTTATATCCCTGTCCCCACTGGCACTCTCCCAGAGATCCCCCACTGGAATTCACACACTTTGTTATTTTTGTAAAAGCCTATTGTGCCAAGTTAGTGTCCCCAGATCTTACTCAGTGAAAGTTCATCTACTGAGGTCTAGTCAGCTTATCTAGAGTCCCTCGCTTTAAGAAGATCAGCTCTTCTTCACCTAGCAGTAATTAGTTGCCAATATTTCTTCAGCTAAGATTGGGGCCTGCTGATCATTTCTCCAGGTTTATGCTGGGTTTTGTCTGCTTGAGCTTGCATGGGACTTATGTACACTGACACCATTGCTGTAGATTCATGTGAGAAGGGTCCCAGGAGCTTGTAGGACTTTATTTCCATATGATCATGCACATCCTTCCTGGTTCTTACAATCTTTATGCCCCTTCTTCCACAATGGTCCCTGAGCCCTGGGTGGGTGAAGTTTAATATAGGAGTCCTGCCCAAGAATCAGTATTCTGCAGGCTCTTAATCTCTGTGCTTTGGCCATTTGTAACCATTTGTGTCCCTGATTCTCTGTTGCATGAGGGAGCTTCATTAATGAGAAATGAGAGATTCATTAGTGACTTCTTTACCCCTGTTTTATGTTCTGTGAGCCTTAGGTATAGAGATGACATTATAGATGGGTAGGCCTGGGCAATTCATAGACACTGTCTGTGTGTGAACAGTTGTGGTACTTAGTAATAGTCTCTGTCTGGTGCAAAAGAAGCTTCTTTTATGAGTGGTGACAGGGATATTTATAAATATAAGTATAAATATTTTGCACATAGTATGAAATTACATTAGTCTAGGAATGTGACAGTCTTGGGGTTTTCTCTAAGATCTATGACCTCTCCAGTTAATAGGTTGTATACTTTTGGGGTCTCTTGGTCTAGCCTAACCAACAACTTAAAGAAATATTTCTCCTGTCTGCCACTGTTTCTTGTTATGTAGCCTGTAGCTGTATACTTGGACTCATGTAGAGATATTGTATGTGTAATATGTCCTTAGAGTGTTGGATTAATATGATTCTGTTTCTTGAAACTAGCTAGGAATT